GCCATAAAGCTTCATATAAGATGGCTACGCGATAAATTGCAAAGAACAAGGTAGAAGGAAGCGTGGTTTATTTCAAGATAAAACATTGTTCTACCATGACGTCAGATTCGAATATGCGAGCGCAACTCGATGATGTCATTTATTGAATAACGCTATTTTTTAGGGAGAAGTGTCTAGGAATTTGCTCCCCATGGATGTAGCTAGGCTACGCAGATAAACGCAGTGGCCAAATGATCGGATTCAATAGTGGGAGGGAAATGATATTAGTATTAGGAGAACCACGGACGTATATAAGGTTATTTTGGTCCTTGGGAGAACATAATCTACGTGAGAATATGTGGGAAATACCCAACTGAACCCTACTGTTTGTAAAATGGACTTGTCCGACATTTCCGAGGTCGGAATCTATTTAGGTAGTCATCATTATTAAACTCTGCGCGTGTATGTGTCTGTGTGTATAGTGCCGTGTGTATACCTGTATATGTGTGTATATATGTCTGTGAATGTGTGTATGAACGTGTACGTGTCTATACTGCCGTGTGTATGTTACAGGAAACAATCTGTCTGTGAGTGTGTGTATACGCGTGTTTCTGTCTGTGTGTATAGTTCCGTGTGTATACCTGTACATGTGTGTTTATCTGTCTGTGAGTGTGTGTACGCTCGTGTATCTGTCTGTGTGTTTAGTGCCGTGTGTATACCTGTATATGTGTGTTTATCTGTCTGTGGGTGTGTATGCGCGTGTATCTGTATGTGTGTATAGTGCCGTGTGTATACCTGTACATGTGTGTTTATCTGTCTGTGAGTGTGTGTACGCTCGTGTATCTGTCTGTGTGTTTAGTGCCGTGTGTATACCTGTATATGTGTGTTTATCTGTCTGTGGGTGTGTATGCGCGTGTATCTGTATTTGTGTATAGTGCCGTGTGTATACCTGTATATGTGTGTTTATCTGTCTGTGAGTGTGTGTACGCTCGTGTATCTGTATGTGTGTTTAGTGCCGTGTGTATACCTGTACATGTGTGTTTATCTGTCGGTGGGTGTGTATGCGCGTGTATCTGTGTATAGTGCCGCGTGTATACCTGTACATGTACCTGTCTGTGAGTGTCTGTATGCGGGTGTATCTGTATGTATAGTGCGGCGTGTATACCTGTATATCGTTGTTTATCTGTCTTTGAGTGTGTGTATGCGCGTGTACGTGTGTATAGTGCCGTGTGTATACCTGTATATGTGTGTTTATCTGTCTGTGAGTGTGTTTTTGCGCGTGTACGTGTGTATACTGCCGTGTGTATACCTGTATATGGGTTTTTATCTGTCTGTGAGTGTGTTTATGCGCGTGTACGTGTGTATAGTGCCGTGTGTATACCTGTATATGGGTGTTTATCTGTCTGTGAGTGTGTGTATGCGCGTGTGTCTGAATGTGTGTATAGTGCCGTGTGTATACCTGTATAGGTGTGTTTATCTCTCTGTGAGTGTGTGTATGCGCGTGTATCTGTATGTGTGTATAGTGCCGCGTGTATACCTGTATATGTGTGTTTATCTGTCTGTGAGTGGGGGCATGCGCGTGTATCTGTATGTGTGTGTAGTGTCGTGTGTATACCTGTACATGTGTGTTTATCTGTCTGTGAGTGTGTTTATGCGCGTGTACGTGGGTATACTGCCGTGTGTATACCTGTATATGGGTTTTTATCTGTCTGCGAGTGTGTGTATGCGCCTTTATCCGTATGTGTGTATAGTGCCGCGTGTATACCTGTATATGTGTGTTTATCTGTCTGTGAGTGGGGGTATGCGCGTGTATCTGTATGTGTGTATAGTGTCGTGTGTATACCTGTATAGGTGTGTTTATCTCTCTGTGAGTGTCTGTATGCGCGTGTATCTGTATGTGTGTATAGTGCCGCGTGTATACCTGTATAGGTGTGTTTATCTCTCTGTGAGTGTCTGTATGCGCGTGTATCTGTATGTGTGTATAGTGCCGCGTGTATACCTGTATATGTGTGTTTATCTGTCGGTGGGTCTGTATGCGCGTGTATCTGTGTATAGTGCCGCGTGTATACCTGTACATGTGTGTTTATCTGTCTGTGAGTGTGTATGTGCGTGTATCTGTATGTGTGTATAGTGCCGTGTGTATACCTGTATATGTGTGTTTATCTGTCGGTGGGTTTTGTATGCGCGTGTATCTGTGTATAGTGCCGCGTGTATACCTGTACATGTACCTGTCTGTGAGTGTCTGTATGCGGGTGTATCTGTATGTATAGTGCGGCGTGTATACCTGTATATCGTTGTTTATCTGTCTGTGAGTGTGTGTATGCGCGTGTACGTGTGTATAGTGCCGTGTGTATACCTGTATATGTGTGTTTATCTGTCTGTGAGTGTGTTTTTGCGCGTGTACGTGTGTATACTGCCGAGTGTATACCTGTATATGGGTTTTTATCTGTCTGTGAGTGTGTTTATGCGCGTGTACGTGTGTATAGTGCCGTGTGTATACCTGTATATGGGTGTTTATCTCTCTGTGAGTGTGTGTATGCACGTGTGTCTGTATGTGTGTATAGTGCCGCATACCTGTATATGTGTCTTTATCTGTCTGTGAGTGTGTTTATGAACGTGTACGTGTTTATACTGCCGTGTATATACCCGTACATGTGTGTTTATCTGTCTGTGAGTGTGTTTATGCGCGTGTACGTGTGTATAGTGCCGTGTGTATACCTGTATATGTGTGTTTATCTGTCTGTGAGTGTGTTTTTGCGCGTGTACGTGTGTATACTGCCGCGTGTATACCTGTATATGGGTTTTTATCTGTCTGTGAGTATGTTTATGCGCGTGTATCTGTATGTATGGTGCCGCGTGTATACCTGTATATCGTTGTTTATCTGTCTGTGAGTGTGTGTATGCGCGTGTACGTGTGTATAGTGCCGTGTATATACCCGTATATGTGTCTTTATCTGTCTGTGAGTGTGTGTATGCGCGTGTACGTGTGTATAGTGCCGTGTGTATACCTGTATATGTGTGTTTATCTGTCTGTGAGTGTGTTTATGCGCGTGTACGTGTGTATACTGCCGAGTGTATACCTGTATATGGGTTTTTATCTGTCTGTGAGTGTGTTTATGCGCGTGTACGTGTGTATAGTGCCGTGTGTATACCTGTATATGTGTGTTTATCTGTCTGTGAGTGGGGGTATGCGCGTGTATCTGTATGTGTGTGTAGTGTCGTGTGTATACCTGTACATGTGTGTTTATCTGTCTGTGAGTGTGTTTATGCGCGTGTACGTGGGTATACTGCCGTGTGTATACCTGTATATGGGTTTTTATCTGTCTGCGAGTGTGTGTATGCGCCTTTATCCGTATGTGTGTATAGTGCCGCGTGTATACCTGTATATGTGTGTTTATCTGTCTGTGAGTGTGTGTATACACGTGTATCTGTATGTGTGTATAGTGCCGCGTGTATACCTGTATATGTGTGTTTATCTGTTCGTGAGTGTGTGTATGCACGTGTATCTGTATGTGTGTATAGTGCCGTGTGCAAACCTGTATATGTGTGTTTATCTGTCTGTGAGTGTGTTTATGCGCGTGTACGTGGGTATACTGCCGTGTGTATACCTGTATATGGGTTTTTATCTGTCTGCGAGTGTGTGTATGCGCCTTTATCCGTATGTGTGTATAGTGCCGCGTGTATACCTGTATATGTGTGTTTATCTGTCTGTGAGTGTGTGTATACACGTGTATCTGTATGTGTGTATAGTGCCGCGTGTATACCTGTACATGTGTGTTTATCTGTCTGTGAGTGTGTTTATGCGCGTGTACGTGTGTATACTGCCGAGTGTATACCTGTATATGGGTTTTTATCTGTCTGTGAGTGTGTTTATGCGCGTGTACGTGTGTATAGTGCCGTGTGTATACCTGTATATGTGTGTTTATCTGTCTGTGAGTGGGGGTATGCGCGTGTATCTGTATGTGTGTGTAGTGTCGTGTGTATACCTGTACATGTGTGTTTATCTGTCTGTGAGTGTGTTTATGCGCGTGTACGTGGGTATACTGCCGTGTGTATACCTGTATATGGGTTTTTATCTGTCTGCGAGTGTGTGTATGCGCCTTTATCCGTATGTGTGTATAGTGCCGCGTGTATACCTGTATATGTGTGTTTATCTGTCTGTGAGTGTGTGTATACACGTGTATCTGTATGTGTGTATAGTGCCGCGTGTATACCTGTACATGTGTGTTTATCAGTCTGTGAGTGTGTGTATGCGCGTGTATCTGTTTGTGTAGAAGGTACCATATGTGTGTGTGTGTGTGTGTGTGTGTGTGTGTGTGTGTGTGTGTGTGTGTGTGTGTGTGTGTGTGTGTGTGTGTGTGTGTGTGTGTGTGTGTGTGTGTGTGTGTGTGTGTGTGTGTGTGTGTGTGTGTGTGTGCATAACGAATTCTATTCTGAGGAATAGGTAAACCTAATCCAGAATAACTTTCTTTTAGATGAGGAATAGTGTATGGTTGGGACATTGGTGGTGTTAGTATGGATAAACTGTCTCCTAATAAATGCATCCAGAGCGATAACACGATCGTACAATTAATTACATTTTTAAGGAAATGCATACATGCAACAATATCCTAAACTACTCATGATATCAATCACTGGGTTGCCTTGCCCAGACGCGATTGAGGCGTAGAACACAGACAATAAAGCAATACACATTACTAATACTAAAACATATCACACCTGCTTGACAAAAACAGATGTTTAAATACGAGCAGATATTTAACAACGATAAGTGTCCACGTGCAGGTCTACTGATCCAGGGACTATCTGAGATATGCACAACACAATGATTCATTTATACTTAAATGCACCTGTTACCAACATACAATACCCCAGCTAGAACATGAAGTTAAGATAAGCATGACTGATCACGCCATACTGCGTTGTGAACTACTGCACTGACATGTCGCTATTTATAAAGCTAACTGCATATTTATGGAATTTCCAGTCTACTTTCGATTTAACGTTTACAAATAGCCTCGCGTTGCAATGGCAGGGACGTGTTGCAAAGAAGGTTTGTGTATCTCTCTCTCTCTCTCTCTCTCTCTCTCTCTCTCTCTCTCTCTCTCTCTCTCTCTCTCTCCATTTCATTATTTTGAAGTCTGGGAAGTAAATGTTGCAGATTTCTGATCATGTATACTGCCAACGCATTATCGTGTCCTATATCACATATTCGCAATGTTCAGAGAGTGCTGCTGTTGAGCTCAGCATGTTTGCAGTGAGGCATGTGCAGTAACAACAGGAAACAGACAGGTAGACGAGTCACTGCACACTTTAGTTAATTGGGCACATTGTGTTTCCTTGGCAACGTAGTAACATAAACAGGGGTATGTGACCTTATAAAAATGCGGGTTAAACCTTGTTACAATTCCTAATATAAACATTTCTCTTAATGTAACCGAATTACATTAAGGGTTGCGGGTTAACTCTTGTCACAACCCTTAATGTAAACATTACTCTTAATGTAACAAAATGACAAGAAGGGTTGTGGGTTAACCCTTGTTACAATTCTTAATGTAAACATTACTCTTAATGTCACCAAATTACATAAAGAGTAGCGGGTTAACCCTTGTTACAATTCCTAATATAAACATTTCTCTTAATGTAACCGTATTACATTAAGGGTTGCGGGTTAACCCTTGTTACAATTCCTAATATAAACATTTCTCTTAATGTAACGGAATTACATTAAGAGTTGCCGGTTAACCCTTGGTTAACCCTTGGTTAACCCTTGTAAAAATTACTCTTAATGCATTTTGTTTACGTCAAGGGTTGCGGGTTAATCCTCGTTACAACTCTTAATGTAAAATTACTCTTAATGTAAAACAATTACATCAAGGGTTGAAGTGACAGCTAGATATTTTTTTTTACATTTTGGGTTATCACTATGAAATGCTTATCAGACATTCATGAAACTTCGCAGATTTAATTGATCGTTACATTGTCTAAATGTGCAAATGACCTTTTCTATATTCCCTCGCTACAACGACCACCTGGTTGCTATAAGCAGGTTTTGTAAAAGGGTTTATGACTCTGACCCTTTTAAACGATTTATATCAAACTTACTGTAGTACAAAGGTTAATATGCAAGGTAACCTCTCTTCCGTTACTATCCTAACACCATACAGAAGGAACGGAGGACTCTGGTTGATGAAATGTAGTTATTTTCCGATTTTGTTCAATGTGTATATGTGTTATGGAAACCCTAACACAATGCCCACACCCATGAACCTATAACTGCTTCGGCGAATGCGACTTTCGGTGGAGTCATTTTGGAGGGGACCAGACCAAGTCGTACATGGTGGTGAGTTGTTAGAATGATCCATTAACAGAGTTTTATGCATAACATAATGGACATTTTGAAGCAGTATCACGTATATATTAGGCATACACCAGAACCATATCATATCAACAACAACAGGAAGTCGAATACAATGATCATTTTGTTTTTAAAAAACACCAGTTCGTACCGTGTCAAGTCAAATATAGCCATGAAAAGAGAATTCTTATTACAATATAAAGCATATATTTTGCGGATGTGAAGTCTATACCTTTTCTATAGCAGTTTAGCATATCGTATAGTATCCTGTAGTTTTTCCTTGTGCTGATCATCCTCACCTACTTTCAAAGAGAGCACTAAAAAGTCAGGGAAATAGTCTTAAATATGGTTAAGTAGCTAAATTCCGACCAATCAGAGGACTCCGTTCCTTTGCTATTGTAATAAAATGTGCTTTGTGTGCAAAAATATATCAAAATATCTTTGAACGAAATCGAACATCTAATTTTCGGGCAATCAGTTGCATCATTTACATTGTCAAAATTTCAAATACATTGTTCCTCAATTCCAACTTTGAACAAAATCTCTAAATACCCATCCGTCAGCTCTGCAGATGCTGCTTTCTGTAGTAACGTAAATAAAGTCAAATTGTATAGTGTCCTAAGATACACCTGTGTACCAAGACTGAAAATCGGCAAAATGGTGTGTTAGTAATGACAACTTAAAGAAACCTGGGTTCACTGCTTCTAGTTCAGAAAGTTAGACATTGCCACGGCTAGAATCCACGAATGTGGCATTGAACTCCTTTAGCACCCACCTCAGTCTCCTCATCTCCCCAAGCCTGACGAAGGATTCAGCTGGAACCAATTCGACTCGAACGATGACGTCCCAGTGGACGCTGGAATACAATCCCTCCAACATCGTTGGCATCACTGTATCAATGTGGAAGGGCATTGTGTTGAAAAAAAAATCAATTTATTATCACGTCTTTCAATGTGAGGCTCAAAACTTATCAATCCCTCCTCGTATGAATCATACTGCTGTAGTAGTACAACTATAGTGCATGTAGTGGTTTATCGAACATTTGGCCTCACTAAGGTTCATTCTAAAATCCCGGATATAATAGTGAGTGAGTATGGTTTTATGCTGCTTTTAGTAATATTCTTGTCAATATCAGGGAGGGGGACACCAGAAATGGGCTTCAGACATTGTACACATTGTACCCATGTACGGAATCGAACCCGGGTCTTCGGCGAACACTTTAACAAGTAGGCTACTCCACCAACCCCCGGATATAATAGGTCCTAAGTATATTGTATGATAACACGAAATCAACCAAGTCCATAGGTCGCGGGGGTTGCTGAGAACCTACTCGATTCCCAATTTCCAGGGGGTCTACTAATACATGAGCTGCAAATAGGATCGGGAAACTAAAACAAAATGGCAGCAATAAAAGCTTTTTTTACTAAACTGATATCTGTCTGGAACCTTTAAAAGATACAAGAATTTGCACAAGGTTGTGTTGACAGTTGAATGGAACTAGTTACAGCACCACTCAGTAAGGTTTTCACTGAAACACCATATTTCATCGTGTGAAAAACATTTGTCTGAGCAATAAAGAAGTTTCAAAAGAAAAGGCAAATAAATACACAAACGACCATAGTGCATATCATGTGAGCAGCTTTGAGCGTTGGAACCTCAGGTAGAAAAATATAAGCACCCTGTTTTGTCATGTGTTTGCGAGTTAACTGTCGGACCTAGCAACCTAGAACAATATCACACATTCATTTTATTTATTTTTGTTACAGACATGGACCTGTCTGCTGTCATGAAGGAACATCTGACATGCAGCATCTGTCAAGACAAATATAATGACCCGAGAGGCCTCCCATGTCAACATGCATTCTGTTACGAATGTCTGAACAACCACATTATTGCCACTGTTGAAGAAAAAAGAAGCTTCAAATGCCCACTTTGCCGAAAATCAACACGACCAAAAAATCCAAGCAAAAGAAAAGAGACCTGGGCTAATCAATTCAAACACGATTTCAAGCTGACAAATATACTTGAGGGTTTGCAACCATATGGTAATCAGTTTTAATTTCTTTTCGTATTATTGTGTTAAAGATTTATTGGTGAATATTTCTTTTAAATTTCAATATAGCTGTACATGGTAACTTCCCCATTACACATATAGAAAATATTGTTTTCTATTCAGTAATTGTGATACTCCATTGCGTTGTTATTTGTTATATTGTGTGGAATTTACACAGCTCTTATACATCGTTCTATTTTTGTTATATTTATATTTGACAATAGTCTGTGCATGTATATCCTTTTGCAGTGCCAGGTATGGAAGTCAAGTGTCACATTGCATATTTTTACTTTATCTTCATAGTCCCTGAGGCCACTTCAGGGAGTGGGACAGTTGCTGGGACATCAACAGCAGCAGCATCGTCAGCAGCAGCTTCAGTGGCATCGCCCTCGGACATGCCAACTTCCAGGATGCCCAGACCCAAAATGCCACCTTTACCCGAGCTGAGGCAGGAACCACGGCAAGTGCTAGTTGGAACAATTCAGAATATTGCCCATACCGAACGTAACGAACAGATCCAACATCATGATATCCAGAGTAGCTCCATACCGCACACAGATGATGCAAACGCCTTGCAAGAAGCCAGTTGTGACAAGAGCAACCGTGCAATTTTGGGATCCGTTGAGACATGTATCCCCCTTGCTGCTGGGGATCAGGTTAGCTATGACCTCAAGGTTCTTGTTCAGGGCAAGAAGAGAATAATACTGACCCCTCATGTTGAGGCGAAGAAACTTCTTGCTATAACACTTAATCCAAAAATGGAAGAGGTCAGCAGATGTTCCCTTGACCTTGATGCAACACCTAGTCGCATATGCAAGATCGACAACAACGTAGTGGCCATAACAACGTCAGATCCAAATACAATTGCACTCTATAGAATGGAGGATGAGCTTCTCTTTCAAAATCGAATTCAAACGAAGAAAAGCTATGATGGAATTGCATGTTTGGAAGATGGGCTATTTGTAGTGACACATCTAACAGATGTTGACTTCATTGACTTTGAGGGTAAAGTACTGGCCGAGCACAAAATCACAACGCCCAATGTGTTGAGACCAGACAATTGTTATGTCTCTGTCACTCCAGGTGGGGAAATAATCACCACTGATATTTCTGGAAATACCCTGTCATGTCTTAAACGGAACGGTAAATTGTTTTGGCAGAAGAAGAAGAAGAAGAGGAAGAGTTATGAATACCCAATGGGAACTGCTGTCGACTCCAGTGGTGCCATTTTCTTGGCTGAACATAACTTCGGAACAATTTTGCAGCTGGACAAATTGGGTTCAGTGGTTGGTAACGTTGTGGAGAAATCAGAGCGATTCAGAAAGCCGTCCGCCATTGCTTTAGACAACACAGGGTATATGTTTGTAATTTGTGACTATAATTTCGTTGCTGTTGTGAAGCTATCAGACCATAATTCGTAGAACAAACATGGTTATTCATACTCTGCATCACAACATTGATTATGATACTCTTTTCGCTGTGCATGCTCAGGCAGCAGAGAAGCTGAATTGAAACTTTCCTTTGATACGTTCGAACAGATTCATTGATGGTGAAAGTCATTTGACCAAGGATACAATCAATAAACTTGAGACACTTCAACGACGCTTAAACAGTATTTCAGTTATAGCACGGGTGTCGGCTTAATGTTGCAGGAAACATCGAAGTGAAGCAAATGACCATCATGGTCGATACGCCTGGGATCAAATCAGGGCGAATCAATGTCCATTTCAAAAGAATCCAAGAATCCAACTATACACACGATTGGCGACGCCGATGACGTCAGACAAATGCTGACAGCGCTGATCCGACACAATCAGGATTGCATGCTCTACGAAGCTGTTTTTAATTATTTTGTCATGGATGAAGCAAACTGTGATGTGAGAGTGTATTTTATGCACTACCCTTGTACATATATTTATGAGCTGACGCCTAGGTCGGAGTTGGACGGTTGAGAAGATTGTCACCTTCTTATTCAACACTTAATCTGTAAGTGTTAACATTGTAACTGTATAAAATGTCTCACTTCATGTAGATCCTAATAACAATCCGGAGATTCAGCAGGACATATTCGCACGGCTCAGAGGTTATGTTAGGACTCCCCTTATCATGTTGCATATGATGTTAGAGCAGGTATTCCGCTCATTGTGTATATATTATTTAGGAGATAAACCTACTGTTCTTTGGAATTTGATGTAGTCCCGCTGTAGAGTAGATACCTCTTGTTAGCTGAAGTGCGGTGTTTCAAATGTATAAATAAGAGGTATCTACTCAACAGTGGGACAACATCAAATTTCACAACACAGTAGGTTTATCTCCATTCTACCATGACGGCAACAGCGCTTTGAAAACGGTGCTCTCATGCAACGCGTGGCTTGTTTTCAAAAAGAAGTTGACAAATAACCTCCAAACTTAGTTCAAAGATAGATGTTTTAATTTTATCGCAACCTGCTGTGCACTGTTTGGACTCACCAAGTCATTTCTTGGAAATCAGCGAGGGACGTCACTTCTTGGAAATCGAATATGCCATTTCCATTGTAGGTTTGAAAACATTTCTCCAACAAACGTTATGAATTAACTTTTATTTTATTTTTATTTATTTTACATGTGTAAATATTATTAGTTAGTTTGCAATTACCCCAAGTAAATATTTAAAAAGATTCAAAATAAATGCCTCACCCCCCGAACTTGGATGTGGCAGAACTTGACCTACACCACGGTTACTCACTCCTCACAAAAGTCAATGGCTGACAATGTTGAGTTTACATTTTCCTTGCCTCAGACAAGTTACACGAAGCAAAATGACAACCCCGATCTATGACGTGATTCAACATTAACCTGTAGATTTACTTGGAGTTAACATGCTGGTACAATATGATTACCAATGGAACTGAGTATTACCAAAAAGCCGCTTATAAGGCTCCAGACCAACGGGATATTTTGACCCGAGGAATCTGCATGATTTGACCTGCCAATTTCAAGATTTCAACATTCAAAGCGAGCGTGTGAAAGCAGTGAGATACTTTTGGCCCACAAATAGTGGGGAGTGTTCTGAAATTAATTTCATCAAGTTTGATAAGCTGTGATTTGAGTGATGTTGGGACATTGTTTTCGAAGGGAGGATTGTTTTCTGATGGACTTTCAAATCCCCTCCTGTCAATTCCTTACCGTGGTGGTTGACAATGAATATCGATCACAAAAAGGTTTGTAAACAACATGTTGTCATGAATAAAGTATATTTTAACCCATATAATGTTATTTTTTACTTTCGTTGTTGTTTCAATGACGAAATTGCCTGTTCCGAATCGCCATCAAACAGTTTCATAAACATTTCATTTGCATGCAAAAGAATATTTCTTCATAAAGTCTTGCAATGTCATCATCAGGATTCTGGCCTAAAACATCATATCGTTACCAAAAACATCTGATATCAAACTACTTTACTTCCTCTGTTAGATGCTAGACCATCTATCATTTCCGCGAGAGGATTTACCCCAGCATGTATTAGAGACCTGGCTAGTATAAGAGACCCAGCGTGTAACAGAGGACATATCGATACATGGGCTTTCGATGTATTCATGGGCACGTTTTTTGTGTGAAAAGGCTTAATATATTTAAAATGGGGTTTCCTTAGCAAAAAGGAAACCTCTTTTTGACCAATCATAATCAAGCATTCTTCAATGTTGTAAATTGCTAGGATTTTATATTGAGACTAGATCTTTTTTTCAGCTACAGCTGCAAGAACATTTATGTTTTTAATTAAAACCATGAGCCAAATTAGTTTTGCTAAAGAAGACATGGCAAAGATGTAATTTTGTGTGACAATTTCTCATTTTTCAAACAATATGAAGCATGACTATATCTTTCCCATATTAATATCTGTAGACAACATATTTTTTTCGATCCAAAAATAGCTCCAGCTAAATTTTTTGAGATAACAAAATAGCTCAAGTCACCGAGCCTGAGCACTCGATTCATTACAAAAGGATAAGCATAGGTTCCCCGAATCTATCATAACCCTAAAGGGTTGAAGAGTGAGTGAAATCAGGTGGAGTTAACGCCACTATTAATACATTTCTTCCAGCGAGAGTTTGTCAGATAATAGGGTTTAAGGGCGAGTACTGGATCCCTATTGGGTTGAAGAGTGAGTGTCGCCAACCATGTCTGAGACGTCAGGTGTTAACGCCACTATTGATACATTTCTTCCAGCGAGGGTTTGTCAGATAATAGGGTTTAAGAGCGAGTACTGGATCCCTATTGGGTTGAAGAGTGAGTGTCACCAACCATGTCTGAGACGTCAGGTGTTAACGCCACTATTGACACATAATAGGGCGATGTGAACAGTAGTCAACCATGTCACGATTTGTCAGCTTAAAGTGGAGGAAACCCTAAACGAACAGGGTATGGTTTAAACAAATCAAGCATCTTAATCAGAGTCAAACTGGACAATCATAATATGTTGGTGTGACTATGGGACGAAACTCGCGGCAATGTAGATGATTCGGCACTCTGTGCCCAATTACAGGGCCAATCTATGTCAATATAACAGATATGATATCCAGAGTAGCTCCATACCGCACACAGATGATGCAAACTCCTTGCAAGAAGCCAGTTGTGACAAGAGCAACCGTGCAATTTTGGCATCCGTTGAGACATGTATCCCCCTTGCTGCTGGGGATCAGGTTAGCTATGACCTCACGGTTCTTGTTCAGGGCAAGAAGAGAATAATACTGACCCCTCATTTCGAGGCGAAGAAACTTCTTGCTATTACACTTAATCCAAAAATGGAAGAGGTCAGCAGATGTTCCCTTGACATTGATGCAACACCTAGTCGCATATGCAAGATCGACAACAACGTCGTGGCAATCACAACGTCATATCCAAATACAATTGCACTCTATAGAATGGAGGATGAGCTTCTCTTTCAAAATCGAATTGAAACGAAGAAAATCTATGATGGAATTGCATGTTTGGAAGATGGGCTATTTGTAGTGACATTACAGGGCCAATCTATGTCAATATAACAGCCTTCACACACAAGTCTTTATAAGCACCGTGGGTTCACTTTTATTCGTTATTAGAGCAATGGCATAAAACAGTTACAGAAATACGAATGTACAAAAAAAGGTAACAGCAACAATTTCACACCACTGATGTCATATGGGAAGCAAGGGAGAGCTGATGAGCTGGGATATCTGCTTAGCATTATGAGCATTATATTTTTTCTCATTGTTTCCAGTTTCTCCTTCACAGAAAGAAGCATTTTTTTCACATCTTCATTTGTCAGGATAACCTGAGCGCCATTGAACATTTTATATGTTTGAAAACTAATTTAAAATGTCCAGTATTTCTGAAACAAATTATTTTCAACAACTCCTTATGTATACTGATATAAAAATAAAGGGTCATACTGAAACAGAATCGGTTTTTTAAGAAGAACTGTATTTGTGTGTCAGATATCTTAGAATTAAGGGAGATGGAACAATGTTTATTCTACTTAACGTTACTTTTCGTTCAAGGAGTGATTTGTTTCCCTTAATGGCTGTATCTTTGAAACTGTAGATGACATTTCCTGAAGAATTAAAGGGTAAACCAAGATATATGAAGCTGGGTAACACTTCCATCACGTCCCCATAACAATGCTATATATCCTGTTTAAAAGACCACCTCCCCGCCAAGTACCCTTTTTTGTTTCATACAATATATCCGCGCAGGCCTCAACAATACGTGCATGACAAGTCAGACATTTCAACAAAGAAGGACAATCTGGGAAACATTCATGTGATGGGTGTTCTTCACATCAATCCTTACAATGGCAGCTATGGTGACGGATTAGTATCATCTCCTACAGTGGTAACGCCACCCTATCTTCATTACCTCGACGTCACAACACCAATTTTCGAAGACAGCATGCCACGATAATTTATGTGTGTGTCACACAAGTTTAAAAAATGAAAAGCGAGGGAAGCATCTGTCCGGAAACAAAACACGATTTCAAATTTAAAAAGTGACATCACTATTTACCGTATTCACAAGTATGCCGGCGCCACATTGGTAGATTTTGAGCTCAATCGGTTGTTTTTTCATCTTGGTAAATCCCTATTATACCTCGTTTTCAAAACCATAATATTGATTGAAATATTCAGCATAAACTTCACGAATGAATGTATTGAATGAAAGTAAGCTATTGAACTGACAGTGAAAAAGAACATTAGGTGAACTGCCTGAGATATAAAAATGTTTGATCTTTATTTCTTGTGCAAACCACCAACATTAACTGTTAAATGAGTTTCTTCCCTCGAATCTAAAACTTCAGCCTCTTTAGTTTCACTCACAACTCGCCCTTTTCCGCAACCTGCAAGGAGACTCGTCCCCTTATGGATGAGTGTTATGTGCGAAAATACGGCAAACCAATCAGAATGCGCGTATGATTTCAAGTTCATCGTCAAAGAATCCCTCAGACATAATTTTTGATTTTACATGTCTTGCATCTAAAAATAGACCCAAGACACAGTTAAATGTGTTCAATCATACTGTATAATTCCACGTTTCCAGGTGTGCTTTAAATTGCATCTGAAATATATATAATATATGGGGACATATATGTGAACCATTACAGAACGAGTTAATTGAGACGGAACCTTGTCGCAAAAATGGCCATGAGAGGGGCACGAGTCGCTATTCGGCTTGTCCCGGAATAACACGAGTTGGTCACGAATGCTTTAGTTCTTGATCCAGGTGTCCCAGCCATCATCTTGTTCAAGGGAGCCAACTGTAGGTTTCCCGTCGGCGAAGATGCATGACGACGTAGTTGTGCTGTAACTGACGCCACGACATCCAGGGTGCAGGAGGCAGGCACTGCAGCAGTCTGTCCTTGACCTTGCAGACGCCGTCGCCAGAATAGCCGTCGACATCTTGGCTCTTGGCATCAGGAGAGTCCAGTACAGGCTGCCTAATGCATGTGTATAAACAGTTTGTTCACACAAAAGAAAGGAGTAATGCATATGTTCGACACATTAAAAAATACCACATGACATTTCCAGGTTCGATCACAAAACGTTAAAGGGTCTTGAAAACTTAAAGTACAAAAACATATCTTAAAACTTCACCTTGAATTAGCACCAAGGTGAATGGGTGCTTAATGCGTTAAGTGAAGGATACAACACGTTCCGAGGTTTTCGTTGAAAATGTAAACCCGCCTGGAAGGGAAAATCCTAAGGCCCGAAGGCCCGAAGGCCCGAAGGATCTTTCCGACCAGGCGGGTTTACATTTTCAACCAAAACCGAGGATAAGTGTTTTATCTGACTTATAAACCGAAAAAAAGAAACTTAAATCAACATTTATCAACATGTTTATGTTTCGAACATACTTTCCATGAACTTTAGGAAACGCGCGTAAAATATCTGTTGCTGGCGTACGGATCTTGAAAAGGACATTCTAAAAACCAGTGAGGCTTATCAACACCTCTGTAGCCTCGTGGTACACTCACTGGGCTACAGATATGAAGGTTGCGAGTTCGATCCTCGGGAATATAAAGAAAACATTTGTCATTTGATTTTACATTTCATTACATGTTACAATCTGAACAAATTGTTATATTAATAAAATACCCAGGACATTATATAAAATCCCAGGGACATTACAACGTCCCTGTTGAGGAGATTTAACCCGACTGGAAAGTAAAACCTCACAATAGGTTTTAATGCCTATAGAAAGAAGTCTTACTTAAAAGCGATCCCAATGAATAGGTTTATAAATATATATACTCAGCGTCTGATGGGTCACGCAGATAATAAGAGAAACCACGTCGCAATTTCAACTTCAAAGAGAGCATTTCAGATGCAGCTGGAATGAACCATATTATACCGACATTGAATGATTCACAAGTGCAAGTGCTGGAAGCGTTCAGGTTGCCGTTTTGGGGAGCTTTTCCCATTACCTTCTATCTCGCACTTTTCCTTGTTCTTAATTATCGATGTCTTTTTTCAGTTTCATAATAGCATCCAGTTGGTATGACGTATGTATAAAAAAAACATGTTCTTCTACTATTAATCACATTTTGAACATACTCAGACCTATTGACGCTTGTTGGCATACGTTTATTTTCGACACTCTACACAGACAGGTGACACTTCAAGAATGACGCTGAGAACAGAAAACAATCACATCTAGCACTACCATTACCCTGTTAATAACGAGAATACACTGACTCATACGACTCCATACATACATGACCTTCGTAATTGACAAGCTTAAGCTAAGACGTTGCATATCCATCAAATCTAAACAGAAACCTCTCAGACTTACATGGCTTGATGTCTTCACCGGCTCCAGTGCAGTTTCCGCCTAGTTCCGGAAGTGGGTTGTTGCAGTAACGGACCCGACGTTCCACAGTCGGCTCCCCTTGACAACGTGACAACTGTGTCCAGGGACTCCATCCGCCGTCTTTGTTGTCTGTGATAAACAAACTCAACATCTCTAAGCTCAGCCAGTTACCAGGAACACCACGTTTGTTTCTTGCAATAGGTGAGGTGAAATTAGGTTTAACGTCGCGTCCAAGGTTATTGCACTTATATCGCGACGTGCATGTGGGTGTGTGTGTGCTTATAATAGTCCGGACTTACGCCGATATATAGTGCTAGCTCACTGAGATATCATACCGCATAAATAACATAAATACTCCACTCAGGCACAGTATACTGACTCCGTGCCGACCAGTCCTTGCTTTAGCCCCTTTATGCCGAGCGCCAGACAGGGTAACAACAAGTATCATCTTTTAACGTATTTTGGTATGACGCGACTTGGGATCGAACCCCGGACCCTCCGCACTCCGGGGGGGCGCTCAAACACTAGACTACGGACGTTTCTTGCTATAAAACATCCTGTGAAAAACGTCAGGAATATTTATGACAAGGCTAATATTTTTGTTGCGATAATATTGTTCTTGCAGTAAGATTGTTACAGCTCCCAGACTGTTGTAGCAGGAAGATTGTTAATGCACGTCCCTTGGGCACACCGGAAATCTGTGATTGTGGGTTCGAATCCTGGTTCACCCCGATTATGTTCCTAGGTTTGTCAGCACCATCATCGTGGGTTTCACTAAAGTTGTTAACGTCTGTGACCTACATCACTTCGGGCGTTCCTCCCACATTGAGCTGACACGCCGCGATATGACAGGAATACAGTTAAATACTGAGTTTAACAATGCTCACTCATTCACTCTGTATTCTATCATCTGCGTTCCTTCAACATATGTCTTCTGCCCATCCTATCTATCGTAGGGGCGGTCGGGTAGCCTAGTGGTTAAAGCTCGTCACGCCGAAGACCCGTGTTCGATTCCCGACATGGGTACAATCTGAGAAGCCCATTTCTGGTGTCCCCCGCCGTGATATTGCTGGAATATTTCTAAAAGCGGCGTAAAAAGCCATATTCACTCACTCACTATCTATCTATTTTAAGTCAACATACCCGCAGATAGCGTTTGATTCTAACATTTTCAAGCTTGGGCCCGCTAATGTATATTTGACGTCAACAAGACTTTGACAAATCGCTAGGACAATCTTGGAACTATAACAATCTTAGCACTACAACAATTTAAGTGCAATGACAATCTTAGCCCAAGGGCAATCTTGGCACTACAACAATCTTAGCACTGTAATAGTCCTATAGCTACAACAATATTGGTGCTACAACAATTTCAGCGCAATAACTATCCTTAGCGCTTTGACTATCTCAGTGTTACAACAATCTAAGTGCTAGGACAATTTTAACACTATACCAATCTTAGCGCTATGACTATCTCAGTTCTACAATAATATTAAGGATGTCCGAATTTCCAAAATAGGGACTATTTAAACTGTTTTTTTCTGTCCGATATGTATCTACTGGAAAAACAATCACATGATCAGATTAGTGCAGTGAGTTTCATTCTGAATATGGTAGTATGTACGGACGGGACAAGTTTTGTTTGTTTGTTTGTTTGTTTGTTTGTTTGGTTGGTTGTTTGGTTGTTTTATTGGCGCTCTCAGCAATATTCTAAGTCAAGTATCTAACATGTACATCAGATTCTCATGTTGTCAATCACTGGGTTGTCTGGTCCAGACTCGATTAGTGACAGACCGCCGTCATATAGCTGGAATATTGCTGAGTGCGGCGTTAAACAACAAACAAACAAACAAACCTCACATAGCAATGAATAGAATATGCGAACGAAATACTTACAGAATTTCCATTGTCCTACTGCCCCAAAGCCAGATGATATCAGAGCATAGTTGACAGGGTGGGGGTCTGGATCATCCCATTCCACTATTCCGGACACCCCCGGGGTGTCTCCAGCACCCAGAGCGACCACGCCCCCTGACCAGCTCACCCAGTAGGGTTTGAAGCCACTGCAGCTTGCCATGGTCGGGTCATTCGTGTCAGCTTCTAAAGCACTTGAAGCCCCATCCCGAACTCCAAATTTGTGTTGCTCACCATACCCATCCAGTAAGATTTCGTAGAAGTTTTTAGTTGTGTCTCCGTAAAATTCCGCCAGGCCTACAAATCCATCATTACAAACCGTGACCTCGAATGTAAATGACGTGACGTTTGAGATGTCAAAGTGGTTATCCACCAGCTCGATGTATGTTGAGTATATATTGTTTGTCGTCAGCTGAACCAAGGCTGTCTTTGTACCTGGACATAGGGAAATGAAACGTATTAAGAGTAATTGAGTGAGTAACAACCTCAGTGTACAACTTGAGTGCACAACCTCAGTGTACAACTTGAGTGCACAACCTCAGTGAACAACTTGAGTGCACAACCTCAGTGAAAAACCTCAGTGAAAAACCTCAGTGAGCAACCTCATTGAACAACCTCAGTGTACAACCTCAGTGAACAACCTCAATTAACAACCTCAGTGTACAACTTGAGTGTACAACTTGAGTGCACAACCTCAGAGAACAACCTCAGTGTACAACTGGAGTGCACAACATCAGTGAACAACCTCAGTGCACAACCTCAGTGTACAACCTCAGTGAACAACCTCAGTGCACAACCTCAGTGTACAACCTCAGTGTACAACCTCAGTGAACAACCTCAGTGTACAACTTGAGTGTACAACTTGAGTGCACAACCTCAGTGTACAACCTCAGTGTACAACCTCAGTGAACAACCTCAGTGTACAACTTGAGTGTACAACTTGAGTGCACAACCTCAGTGAACAACCTCAGTGCACAACCTCAGTGTACAACCTCAGTGAACAACCTTAGTGAACAACCTCAGTGTACAACTTGAGTGCACATCCTCAGTGTACAACTTGAGTGCACAACCTCAGTGAACAACCTCAGTGTACAACTTGAGTGAGTGAGTGAGTGAGTTGGGTTAAACGCCGCTTTTAACAGTATTCCAGTTATATCACGGCGTGTCAGCTTAATGTGGGAGAAAAGCCCGAAGTGATGCAGGTCTCAGACGTTTACCACTTCGGGTACGGTGCTGACAAACCTACAAACATAATCGGGGCGAGACGGGATTTGAACCCACAATCACAGGTTTCTGGCGTGCCCAAGGGACGCAACTCTGCACAGCGAATTGCGGCGCCTTAGACGACTGGGCCATCCGTGTCGCGAAACGTATGAAGAAACGCATTGTGGAGGAACTGCAGTAGCTTGTGACAATGTACATAAGCATATATCAGACATATTTTGATAATCCACTGTACACACATGGAATATAAAATGGCAATTCAGGAGAATAACCATCCTAGATTTTCTGCCGAAACAGATTCCACATTATGCAGATTTGCATAAAGGGCAAATAGCTGTGGACATTACTTGAAAGGACAACTGAAAATCAGTGATGACACCACATAAATGCGACTTGCATGTTCCTCAGTCTAGGCATACACATACCAATGTTATAATTTCAATGACTAAAAGTTTATACTACGGTTATAACAAACTCACAGGAACCACTAATTTTAGTTCGGAATAACCGTAGTTCGTTATAAGCATTTATACAGCAAATATACAACAAATGGCCGGGACTAAAAGGGAAGTTTGTTATATCGGTCAGTTCGTTATAAGCGTGTTCGCTATAAACTTAGTTTACTGTATTAAGAAAATACTTTGGCAGTGTTTTTTTAGTAAACAGAATCAAAAGACAATTTTACACAAATTTAAATGAATGTTCAAGTTTCTAGGGAAGGCATCGATTGGGTTTGACTGATCTGTCTAAAATGAAATTCCCGTGCACATAATGTTGGAGATCATATGTCTCTTTATTGGTACCCTCAAGTGAAGTTATGTACTGGCTAGTTTTCAATCATTGTAATCATTGATCTACGGGGCCACTGATTGATGGTAAGACACGTGCGTCTCACATGGGACACCCAAGAAAAAACGTCAACTTCGATGACAAGTAGGGTTAAAACACGAGACGATATTCTGTCTCGATTACCCGCTAGGATTAGATTTCATTGGGCATAAAAGACAAAATAAAGGTGACAATTATATAAATGGATCACTAAAAATTAGGTCTTCGCGAAAACGATAAACAACTCCTGCCCAGTTTGTACCACCCTCCACTCACAAAATTTGCTTAAGACCCGTGAAGATCCGGGGTAGAATTGGTCTTCAGCAACCCATGCTTGCCGTAAAAGACCACCAGCTTGTCGTAAGAGGCGACTAACGGGATCGGGTGGTCAGGCTCGCTGACTTGGTTGATGCATGTCATCGATCCCAATTGCGTGGATAGACGCTCATAATATCAGGATTGCCTGTTCCAGACTCGATTATTTACAGACCGCCGTCATATAGCTGGAATACTGCTGAGTGCGGCGTTAAACAACAAATAAAACAAAACAAACCAATATGCTTAAAAGGGACATGTTTGTTTGTTGCCTGGTGCTGCAGAACAATACGTCTGTCATGGGACGGCCTCTAAACAAACCAGACAGTCAAGGGATCGATGGACCAGACAAAACATTGTCACGATTACGTGACGGTTTTTTTTAAACTACCAACGACGTGTTAATTCATAATAGATGTGAAATGTCAGAAGCAACCAGATGAGGCCTTTACCTTTGTCGCGACCAACAGAAGGAGTTTCAGACCTCAGTCCTGTGCTGGCTGAAGGTTTCAAATTGAAGGCACGTGTTGTGTTACAGGGTGAGGTGAGGTGGTGTGAGGTGAGGTGTGGTGAGGTGAGGTGAGGTGAGGTGAGGTGAGGTGAGGTGAGGTATGGTGAGGTGTGGTGAGGTGAGGTGAGGTGAGGTGAGGTGAAATTGGGTGTTTAACGTCGCGTCCAAGAGCATTGCACTTATATAGCGACGTGCACGGACGTGTGTGTGTGTGGCTGCTTGTATTAGTCCGGACTGATACCGATTTACAGTGCCAGCCAAATGAGATACCATGCCGCAGTTTAACATGAATACCCCACTCAGACACAGTATACTGACTCCGTGCCGACCAGTTCCTGTTTTAGCCCCTTAATGCCGAGCGCCAGACAGGGTAACAACAAGTACCATCTTGTCGTGTTACAAATACCACGTTACTGCAGCCTGAAGCATAATGCTGATGTACAGTGTGTACTGTAAGTCTTTCGATGAGTCAATAACCTTGACACTAAACATGATCTAGATACGTGGACAAAAAAGAAAGAGCTCATCGTTGTGATGTGTTTTGTATTATCATCAGTCATAATACATTATTCAGTGTTTTATTGATACTACTCCTGGTGACCCTGGACTTCATCAGATGTCATCAATATTCTTGTCAATATCAAACCCCAACGGAGAGGACAATTATGTAAATTACGCAATCCGCGCCGCTGATAAGTTTCACACATATCTAGCTACACACACGTGTCTCAGGCGGTTGATTGGCCCGAGTGCTACTGTAAAACGTTAACAACACCACGTGACTTTGGGATCCAAAGCGAGGCAAGATATTCGATGGTGGAGTTCTGTGACGTCTTTAAATCGACTACCTTCGTAATAAAGGGGAATGCATATCGTATGATGCATGCCAAACTGGCGACGGGGGCGTTGCATTTCATGGTGATTGGTTCTGCCTGGCCTTGCGAACAGATATCAGCAACTGGAGCGATTAATATAAACACTTAACACAATGAACGAGATGGCGTGGTCGTCACATTGTTGCACACAGAGATACAACAATGTGCTGTATTAATAAGGGCACTTAACACAATGAACGAGATGGCGTGGTCGTCACATTGTTGCACACAGAGATACAACAATGTACTGTATTAATAAGGGCACTTAACACAATGAACGAGATGGCGTGGTCGTCACATTGTTGCACACAGAGATACAACAATGTGCTGTATCAATAAGGGCACTTCACGCAATGAACGAAATGGCGTGGTCGTCACATTGTTGCACACAGAGATACAACAATGTACTGTATTAGTAAGGGCACTTAACACGATGAACGAAATGGCGTGGTCGTCACATTGTTGCACACAGGAACAACACCACAACAATGTACTGTATTGATAAGGGAATTGACACAATGAACGAGATGGCGTGGTCGTCACATTGTTGCATGCGTAAACAACACCACAACAATGTACTGTATTAATAAGGGCACTTCACGCAATGAACGAGATGGCGTGGTTGTCACATTGTTGCATACAGAAACAACACCACAACCATGTACTGTATTAAAAAGGGCACTTCACGCAATGAACGAGATGGCGTGGTTGTCACATTGTTGCACGCGTAAACAAAACACCACAACCATGTACTGTATTAATAAGGGCACTTGACACAATGAACGAGATGGCGTGGTTGTCACATTGTTGCATGCGTAGACAACACCACAACAATGTACTGTATTAATAAGGGCACTTCACGCAATGAACGAGATAGCGTGGTTGTCACATTGTTGCATGCGTAAACAAAACACCACAACCATGTACTGTATTAATAAGGGCACTTGACACAATGAACGAGATGGCGTGGTTGTCACATTGTTGCATGCGTAGACAACACCACAACAATGTACTGTATTAATAAGGGCACTTCACGCAATGAACGAGATGGCGTGGTCGTCACATTGTTGCATACAGAAACAACACCACAACCATGTACTGTATTAATAAGGGCACTTCACGCAATGAACGAGATGGCGTGGTTGTCACGTTGTTGCATACAGAAACAACACCACAACCATGTACTGTATTAATAAGGGCACTTCACGCAATGAACGAGATGGCGTGGTTGTCACATTGTTGCATACAGAAACAACACCACAACCATGTACTGTATTAATAAGGGCACTTCACGCAATGAACGAGATGGCGTGGTTGTCACATTGTTGCATACAGAAACAACACTACAACCATGTACTGTATTAATAAGGGAATTAACACAGTGAACGAAATGGCGAGGTCGTCACATTGTTGCATACAGAGACAACACCACAACTTTGTACTGTATTAATAAGGACACTTAACACAATGGACGACATAATGTGGTCGTAACGCACGCACGCACGCACGCACGCACGCACGCACGCACACACACACACACACGAATATTATGGATCTTCTTCACGTTTAATATTGATTCGTAGATTTAATTTTTTTTATAATTTCTCCAACAACACGTAGGTTAATATGTTATATAATTATGGAATTTTCTCCTGTCATAAAAACAAATGTATATACTGCTCTTATCACGATATGACGGATTACAGCCTACATGACTTGATACTTCAACACGACGCCCATTATCACTCAGCAAAGTTCCAGCTTATATGACAACGCCCTGTAAATAATAGAGTCTGGACCAAACAATCCAGTGAATGATATCAGGAGCATCGATCCACGCCGTTGGGATACGATGACATGCATCAACCAAGTCAACGAGCATGACCTCCCGATCCCGTTAGTCGCCTCTTACAAGCATGGGTTGCTGAAGACCTATTCTAAACAGGATCTTCACTGGTCTACTGACAATAATGCATTGAAGGACTACCAATGGTGATTATTGGTTTAAGAGTCGTGTATGATGGACAAACCATCGACTGACACTCCCAATACAAAACAGAGAGTTACTTTCAATACAGAAATAGAAGAGTATTAGATAGAGGAGCATGTGGGAATTGTTGCTGGCCAGTGTCTAGAAACTCTGTTTTCAGAAGACGATGGTCATGAGAAATTGAAAATAGCCAATATTGCACACGATGTGCAGTCACAGAAGAAATGGTTCCTGAAGTTTGCGTGGAGACTTAATTCTCTGAAAAGACTTGATTAGTATTGATATATTCTTAAAAAAAACATTATAACCTATCATGCAACACTGTGTCTGTACCGGGTTCAGCAACTTAAAACAACAGTCGTATTACTATCTGCTGGGATAAAACTATTAACATTCACAGGACATGTATTTCCTTTGGGAAATTATCGAGGAATGTTTGCTTGGTAGTCAGTAGTAATGCATCTATGGAGGTGTTCGATGTGGTTAGGGGGACTCCACTGGCTAAGGGTGTTTGCCTTTATGTGAAACCATTGTCCATGACTGGTACACGATGCTTCGTTTCAGCTGCCATCGTCTAATCTCCACGGAATTAAGCCTTAGTGGTGAGGATCGTGTTTGGCATGGTTGTGATATCATGATATTAATACCTGAATGTTTCATTTGTCCGAATCGTGTTAGCTGGTCTGCAATTCAGAAATTTAAAAAAATAATTTGTCATTTTTTTTCTGAAATTCACGCCTACTTTTGAACTGTTCTTTGTATAGGGTAGCCCAGTTGCCGAGGTGCCTTACATTTCCACATATCCCAGTACTAGCAGAGGTTACAATATTTCATTTATATAACGCCACACGTGTCGGCTTAATGCGGGAGGAAGATCCTGCAGTGATGATGGTCTTGGTGAAACGAGGCAGACTGAGGATCATAACCAAGGCGACTCTGGGATTCGAACCCACGATCGACGGATACTGCACAGCATCTTTCCACGCCTTATATGGCTGTACTGACGCAGATTGGTGGAAATGAAATTTGATGTAAATGATTCCATTTACAGAGGTTGATTTACAATGAGTTTGGACTATTAAATTTTGAAACAGGTTTGAACCTACGTTCCCTGGCCTGTTTATGTTTCTCATACATTTGTTTGTTTGTTTGTTTGTTTGTGTTGTTGTTTTTATGCCGCACTCAGCAATATCCCAGATATATGTCGGTCGTCTGTAAGTAACCAGGCAGTCCAACAATAGACATCATGAGCATCGATATATGCATTTGAGATACGATGACATGCATCAACCAAGTCAGCGACACTGACCACCCTATCTCGTTAGTCGCCTTTGCTAGCTAGCTTTGTTGCATCTTACGACAAGCATGCATGAGAGAGAGAGAGAGAGAGAGAGAGGGAGAGAAAGAGAGAGTGAGAGAGAGAGAGAGAGAGAGAGAGAGAGAGAGAGAGAGAGAGACACAGAGAGAGAGAGAGAGAGAGTATTCCAGTTATATCACGGCGTGTCAGCTTAATGTGGGAGGAAAGCCTGAAGTGATGCAGGTCTCAGACGTTTACCACTTTGGTGAAACCTACGAGCATGGGTATGGTGCTGACAAACCTAGAAACATTATCGGGGCCAACGGGGATTCCAACCCTGGGTCATAGTTTTCTGGCGTGCACATCGAATTGCGGCGCCTTAGACGAATGGGGCTCTAGTTCTCACGTGTTGACATTTAGAATATTGTGACAAAAAAACCTTTGCGACACTTGCCTTTTAGAAACAAATATGATGAAATGGTCTCCAATTTCGGCGACTACGACAATGGCCGCGGTCGAAATTGTAATCATGCTGACCTGTTCGCTGAGAAAGAGGTACGCATACCAATGAAAACCTTATTACGAACTACGGTTATAAAGAACTAAAAATAGTGGTCCCTTTGAGTTCGTTATAACCGTAGTTTATTACATATAGTTATAATCGACTCAAAATAGCCCTGAAAAACCATATCATATTACATTCTATGTTTGTTTCTTGTTTAACGAATCACTCGGCAATATTCCAGCTTACGACAAACATAGTCAGTCGCCTTTTACGGCAAGCTGTGGTGCTGAAGACCAATTTTAACCCGGATCTTCACGGGTTTTAATTAAGGTATTACCAAGAGCTGTGGGCAGCCATGTGTGCAATTTAATATTGTGTTAGTGTTCAAATAAGTTGTGTTAACAACTTATGTTAAGTTAATTAAGCAGGGTCTTACCTTTCAAAAGAACAAGCACAAGGATAAACGTGGATATGTTGCGAGCGGTTAACATGTTGTTGTCATTCAATCACGTTGTGCTTGCGTCAACCTCCTGCCTCGCTTTAAAAGTGTCTTGTAAGTTCGCCCACCAAACACTTTATCCAAGCTGGCAACTGGGTCCCTGTGTTGTTTGCGATTGTTAATTGATGGTGCCATCACGATTCTGTTATTGCTTCCAGTCGACGCGTTCTTGTTGCACGCTCAGTGTGTTATCAATACACGATCTTGTCTCCAAGGACGTCTCAATAGAATTCAGTTATTAAGAATTCATGTCCCGTACGTGTTCTGCACCGATTCATATTTTTCATATTTCTAAGCTGACAAAAACTTTTGCGACAACGTTATATGATTTCTCTGTCAACCTGATGCTCTGATAATCACAGGTGACTCCTCTATGGTTGATAATAACAGTGAGTGAGCTGGGTTTAACGCCGCTTTTAACAGTATTCCAGTTATATCGCGGCGTGTCAGCTTAATGTTGGAGGAAAGCCCGAAGTGATGCAGGTCTCAGACGTTTACCACTTCGGTGAAACCCACGAGCACGGGTATGGAGCTGAAAAACCTAGAAACATAATCGGGGTGAACCAGGATTCGAACCCACAATCATAGGTTTCTGGCATTTCCAAGGGACGCAACTCTGCACAGTGAATCGCGGCGCCTTAGACGACTGGGCCACCCGTGTCCCCTGATAAAAACCACCTTCCATTCGTCTAAGGCGAACACCCCTTTTCAGTCTTGGGGAAACTTACACGTCTTTACGATCCAACACCCCTCTTCAGTCTTCGGGAAACTTACACGTCTTTACGATCCAACACCCCTCTTCAGTCTTGGGGAAACTTACACGTCTTTACGATCCAACACACCTTTTTGGTCTTAGGGAAACTTACAATTCTTTACAATCCAATACCCCTCTTCAGTCTTGGGGAAACTTACACGTCTTTACGATCCCACACCCCTTTTCAGTCTTGGGGAAACTTACACGTCTTTACGATCCAACACCCGTTTTCGGTCTTAGGGAAACTTACACGTCTTTACGATCCAACACCCCTTTTCAGTCTTGGGGAAACTTGCACGTCTCTACGATCCAACACCCCTTTTCGGACTTGGGGAAACTTACACGTCTTTACGATCCAACACCTTTTCGGACTTGGGGAAACTTACACGCCTTTACGATCCAACACCCCTTTTCGGTCTTAGGGTTAGTTTGGTTAGGACAAGGGTTAGCCATAAATTCTTACCTTTTCAAGCGTTAATACGGTTAATCCGGTTGGTCGGTCATGTTGACATAAACAATGGCGAGTGGTATTTCAAGAAAAGATGAATGGGAGAGCGGACCGTGACGTCACACGCATGCGCAATTCAATTGGATCTGAAAAAGTGCGCCCGGTAAAGTGCATATGTTCTGTGCCTTTGGGTAACGATCGCCTCCGTGGTCCAGTGGTAGAGCGTCCGCCCGGAGAGCGGAAGGTCCGGGGTTCGATCCCCGACCGCGTCATACCAAAAGACGTTAAAAGATGGTACTTGTTGTTACCCTGTCTGGCGCTTGGCATTAAGGGGCTAAAACAGGGACTGGTCGGCTCGGAGTCAGTATACTGTGTCTGAGTGGGGTATTCATGTTAAACTGCGGCATGGTATCTCAGTGGGCTAGCACTATAAATCGGCATCAGTCCGGTCATGGAGTGTCAACAAGGACGATGCCAAATGCCTGTGGGCCTCCAACAGGCGGCACCAAGGATACCAAGAGAGTATACTCAAGCAGAAACATTAGACATAATGTACCACCAGATTGGCCCATGAGCCACCGCCTTCTCTTGGCAAAAGTGCAAATAATTCATCATATAAGCATACATATTTGGTTTGAATACAATTCAAGCAGAAGTTAAATTTGCAAAATGAAAACTAAATTGGGTCAAATCTGTGCTGATAAAGATAATACACAGGGCTCGGCATGACCAGCCGATTGATAGGACCGGGCCCATCCTACCACCCGTCTAGGTGAAGTAAGGGTCGAAGTGGTGTATTGGGCAAAGGAACGATATTCCTGGAACCAGTGCCCTCAACCACCAGAATCCCGTCCTCCGCCGACACAGGGGCGCAACCCACGGAGAACAGGTTGCCCAATTCGGTCGCCTTTTACGCCTGTATCTGTATGTGTGTATAGTGCCGCGTGTTTACCTGTACATGTGTGTTTATCTGTTCGTGAGTGTGTGTATACACGTGTATCTGTATGTGTGTATAGTGCCGTATGTATACCTGTACATGTGTGTTTATCTGTTCGTGAGTGTGTGTATGCACGTGTATCTGTATGTGCGCATACTGCCGCGTGTATACCTGTACATTTGTTTATCTGTTCGTGAGTGTGTGTATGCGCGTGTATCTGTCTGTGTGTATAGTGCCGTGTATATACCTGTATATGTGTGTTTATCAGTCTGTGAGTGTGTGTATGCGCGTGTTTCTGTTTGTGTATAAGGTACCATGTGTGTGTGTGTGTGTGTGTGTGTGTGTGTGTGTGTGTGTGTGTGTGTGTGTGTGTGTGTGTGTGTGTGTGTGTGTGTGTGTGTGTGTGTGTGTGTGTGTGTGTGCATAACGAATTCTATTCTGAGGAATAGGTAAACCTAATCCAGAATAAATTTCTTTTAGATGAGGAATAGTGTATGGTTGGGACATTGGTGGTGTAAGTATGGATAAACTGTCTCCTAAGAAATGCATCCAGAGCGATAGCACGATCGTACAATTAATTATATTTTTAAGGAAATGCATACAAGCAAAAATATCCTAAACTACTCATGATATCAATCACTGGGTTGCCTTGCCCAGACGCGATTGAGGCGTAGAACACAGACAATATAGCAATACCCATTGCTGATACTAAAACATATCACACCTGCTAGACACAAACAGATGTTTAAATACGAGCAGCTATTTAACTACGATAAGTGTCCACCTGCAGGTCTACTGAAATAGGGACTATCTGAGATATGCACAACACAATGATACATTTATATTTAAATGCACCTGTTAACAACATGAAATATCCCAGCTAGAACATGAAGTTAAGATAAGCATGACTGATCACGCCAAACTGCGTTGTGAACTATTGCAGTGACATGTCGCTATTTATAAACCTGACTGCTTATTTATGGAATTTCCAGTCTACTTTCGATTTAATGTTTACAACTAGCCTCGCGTTGCGATAGCAGGGACGTGTCGCAAAGAAGGTTTGTATCTCTCTCTCTCCCTCTCTCTATCTATCTTTCTCTCTCCTATCGATTACTAGCTTAGTATAATTCGGAATATAACACTTACATTTCATTATTTTGAAGTCTTTGTGGTAAATGAAACAGATTTCTGATCATGTATACTGCCAACGCATTATCGTGTCCTATATCACATATTCGCAATGTTCAGAGAGTGCTGCTGTTGAGCTCAGCATGTTTGCAGTGAGTCATGTGCAGTAACAACAGGAAACAGACAGGTAGACGAGTCACTGCACAATTTAGTTAATTGGGCACATTGTGTTTCCTTGACAACGTAGTAACATAACAGGGGTATGTGACCTTATTAAAATGCGGGTTAAACCTTGTTACAACCCTTAATGTAAACATTCTCTCTTAATGTAACAAAATGACACGAAGGGTTGTGGGTTAACCCTTGTTACAATTCTTAATGTAAACATTACTCTTAATGTCACCGAATTACATTAAGGGTACCGGGTTAACCCTTGTCACAACCCTTAATGTAAACATTACTCTTAATGTAACAAAATGATACGAAGGGTTGTGGGTTAACCCTTGTTACAATTCTTAATGTAAACATTACTCTTAATGTCACTGAATTACATTAAGAGTTCCAGGTTAACCCTTGTTACAATTCTTATATAGACATGTTTCTTAATGTAACAGAATTACATGAAGGGTTGTGGGTTAACCCTTGTTACAATTCCTAATATAAACATTTTTCGTAATGTAACAGAAGTACATGAAGGGTTGTGAGTTAACCCTTGTTAAAATTCCTTATATAAACATGTCTCTTAATGTAACCAAATTACATTAAGAGTAGCGGTTTAACCATTAATACAATTCCTAATATAATTTGTTTTCCTAATGTAACCGAATTACATAAAGGGTTGTGGGTTAACCCTTGTTACAATTCCTAATATAAACATTTTTCTTAATGTAACCGAATTACATTAAGAGTTGCCGGTTAACCCTTGTTACAATTCCTAATATAAACACAGTTAAATGGGCACATTGTGGTTCTGTGACAACGTAGTAATATAAACAGGGGTATGTGACCTTATGAAAATGCGGGTTAAACCTTGTTACAACCCTTAATGTAAACATTTAACTTAATGTAACCAAATTACGTTAAGAGTTGCGGGTTAACCATTGTTACAATTCCTAATATAAACATTTCTCTCAATGTAACCGTATTACATTAATAGTTGCGGGTTAACCCTTGTTACAATCCTAATATAAACATTTATCTTAATGTAACCAAATTGCATTAAGAGTTGCGGGTTAACCGTTGTTACAATTCCTAATATAAACAATTCACTTAATGTAACCAAATTACATTAAGAGTTGCAGATTAACCCTTGTTACATTTCTTAATGTAAAAATTACTCTTAATGCATTTTGTTTACGTCAAGGGTTGCGGGTTAATCCTCGTTACAACTCTTAATGTAAAATTACCATTAATGTAAAACAATTACATAAAGGGTTGTCAAAGTGACAGCTAGATATTTTTTTTTACATTTTGGGTTATCACTATGAAATGCTTAATGGACATTCATGAAACTTCGCAGATTTAATTGATCGTTACGTTGTCTAAATGTGCAAATGACTAATCTTTTTCTATATTCCCTCGCGACAACGACCACCTGGTTGCTATAAGCAGGTTTTGTAAAAGGGTTTATGACTCTGACCCTTTTAAACGATTTATATCAAACTCACTGTAGTACAAAGGTTAATATGCAAGGTAACCTCTTTTCCGTTACTATCCTAACACCATACAGAAGGAACGGAGGACTCTGGTTGATGAAATGTAGTTATTTTCCGATTTTGTTCAATGTTTATATGTGTTTTGGAAACCCTACCACAATGCCCACACCCATGAACCCGGTGTAGTCATTTTGGAGGGGACCAGACCAAGTCGTACATGGTGGTGCGTTGTTAGAATGATCCCTTAACAGAGTTTTATGCATAACAAAATGGACATTTTGAAGTAGTATCACGTATATATTAGGCATACACCAGAACCATATCAAATCAACAACAACAGAAAGTCGAATGCAATGGTCATTTTGTTTTTAAAAAAACACCCCGTCAGTACCGTGTCAAGTCAAATATAGCCATGAAAAGAGAATTTTTATTACAATATAAAGCATATATTTTGCGGATGTGAAGTCTATACCTTTTCTATAGCAGTTAAGCATAGCCTGTAGTATCCTGTAGTTTTTCCTTGTGCTGATAATCCACACCTACTTTCAAAGAGAGCACCAATAAGTCAGGGAAATAGTCTTAAATATGGTTAAGTATCTCAAATTCCGACCAATCAGAGGACTCCGTAACTTTGCTATTGTAATAAAATGTGCTTTGTGTGCAAAAATATATCAAAATATCTTTGAACAAAATCTAACATCTAATTTTCGGGCAATCAGATGCATCGGTTACATTGTCAAAATTTCAGTTGAGTCCTTAAATACATTATTCCTAAATTCCAACTTTGAACAAAATCTCTAAATATCGATCGGTCAGCTCTGCATATACTGCTTTCTGTAGTAACGTAAATCAAGTCATATTGTATAGTGTCCTAAGATACACCTGTGTACCAAGACTGAAAATCGTCAAAATGGAATGTTAGTAATGACAACTTAAAGAAAACCTGTAAATAACGACCAGGTTGTCGTCGTTGAGAAGTTGTTAGAATATGAAAGGTGCAGTGTACTTGCACAAGTTCCAGAAACTGATTGGGAAAGATAATTGCAACCTTTTGTGAGTATTGACGAAACCTGGGTTCACCACTTCTAGTCCAGAAAGTTAGACATCATCACGGCTAGAATCCGCGAATGTGACTTTGAACTCCTATAGCCCCCACCTCAGTCTCCTCATCTCCCCAAGCCTGACGAAGGATTCAAGTGGACTCGTACGATGACGTCCCAGTGGAATCAATTTATCATCACGTTTCAATGTGAGGCTCGGAACACATCAATCACTCCTAGGATAAATCATACTGCTGTCGTAGTGCATGTAGTGGTTTATCGAACATTTGGCCTCACTATGGTTCATTCTAAAATCCCGGTTATGATAGTGAGTGAATATGGTTTAAACGCCGCTTTTAGCAACATTCTTGTCAAAAATATGAGCACCCTGTTTTGTCATGTGTTTGCGAGTTAACTGTCGGACCTAGCTACCTAAGCATGTTCGTCGACAATATCACACATTCATTTTTTTTTATTTTTGTGACAGACATGGACCTGTCTGCTGTCATGAAGGAGAATCTGACATGCAGCATCTGTCAAGACATCTTTAAGGACCCGAGAGGCCTCCCATGTCAACATGCATTCTGTTACGAATGTCTGAACAACCACATTATTGCCACTGTTGAAGAAAAAAGAAGCTTCAAATGCCCACTTTGCCGAAAATCAACACGACCAAAATATCCAAGCAAAAGAAAAGAGACCTGGGCTTATCAATTCAAACACGATTTCAGGCTGACAAATATACACGAGGGTTTGAAAGCATACGGTAACCAGTTTTAATGTCTTTTCATATCATTGTGTTAAAGATTTATTGGTGATTTTTATTTTATAATTTTAATACGGCTGTTTATGGCAATCACTCTTCCGGAGTAATTTCCCCCTTACAGTTACAGAAAATATTGTTTTCTCTTCAGCAATTGTGATACTTCATTGCGTCGTTATTTGTTATATTGTGTGGAATTAGACAGCTCTTATGCATTGTTCTATTTTTGTTATATTTATATTGGACAATAGTCTGTGCATGTATATCCTTTTGCAGTGCCAGGTATGGAAGTCAAGTGTCACATTGCATATTTTTACTTTAGCTTCATAGTCCCTGAGACCACTTCAGGGAGTGGGACAGTTGCTGGGACATGAACAGCAGCAGCATCGTCAGCAGCAGCTTCAGTGGCATCGCCCTCGGACATGCCAAATTCCAAGATGCCCAGACCCAAAATGGCACCTTTACCCGAGCTGAGGCAGGAACCATGGCAAGTGCCAGTTGGAACAATTCAGAATATTGCCCATACCGAACGTAACGAACAGATCCAACATCATGATATCCAGAGTAGCTCCATACCGCACACAGATGATGCAAATTCCTTGCAAGAAGCCAGTTGTGACAAGAGCAACCGTGCAATTTTGGGATCCGTTGAGACATGTATCCCCCTTGCTGCTGGGGATCAGGTTAGCTATGACCTCAAGGTTCTTGTTCAGGGCAAGAAGAGAATAATACTGACCCCTCATTTCGAGGCGAAGAAACTTCTTGCTATAACACTAAATCCAAAAATGGAAGAGGTCAGCAGATGTTCCCTTGACCTTGATGCAACACCTAGTCGCATATGCAAGATCGACAACAACGTAGTGGCCATAACAACGTCATATACAAATACAATTGCACTCTATAGAATGGAGGGTGAGCTTCTCTTTCAAAATCGAATTAAAACGAAGGAGAGCTATGATGGAATTGCTTGTTTGAAATATGGGCTATTTGTAGTGACAAATCGAACAGATGTTGACTTCATTGACTTTGATGGTAAAGTACTGGCCGAGCACAAAATCACAATGCCCAATGTGTTGAGACCAGTCATTTGTTATGTCTCTGTCACTCTAGTTGGGGACATGATCATTTCTGGAAATACCCTGTCATGTATTAAACGGAACGGTAACTTGTTTTGGCAGAAGAAGAGGAAGAGTTATGAAAACCCAATGGGAACTGCTGTCGACTCCAGTGGTGCCATTTTCTTGGCTGAACATAACTTCGAAATAATTTTGCAGCTGGACAAAATGGGTTCAGTGGTTGGTAACGTTATGGAGAAATCAGAGCGATTCAGAAAGCCGTCAGCCATTGCTTTAGACAATACAGGGTATATGTTTGTGATTTGTGACTATAACTTTGTTGCTGTTGTGAAGCTATCAGATCATAATTCGTAGAACAAACATGGTTATTCATACTCTGCATCACAATAAGGCAGCAGAGAAGCTGAATTGAAACTTTTTCCTAGTATTTCAGGATCTTTTTACTAGTATTCATTCTCGTTTAATTATTGGATTTTAAATGATATTGAATTGTTTGAAAAATTTTGATTGATAATATGTTTTGTTGAAAAAATAATGTTTTAAATTTGGTAGATTTGAACTGCGATTGTTAGTGGCTGTATCCTCGAAGGGGGTTAGGGTAGTGTAAAATTATTATTATTATTATCCCCTAAGAAGATACGTAAGTTCCACATCTCTCAAAGTCGATTTAGAACTACCACGTTTTTGATATTACCACTAATAGTTTTTAAACTACCACGTTAAAAATATGTGTCGTTTAAGATGTTAGGCTAACTAAATCAATAATCGCCAACAACTGAGGGGAAGATGTAAATCCTGCTTGGGTCCATGCAGGTAGCAAAGGTGAGGTGATTTACCTTCAGTTGCTGGCGATCAATAGCTCATTTTTATAATGCATTGTTCTGTCTAGTGGTGTATTTCTATGGTTTCATGCTAGTTTAAATCATAATCTGTGATAAATCTAGTGATTTTACTCGCCCTTGTTGACAGGCTTTTATAGTTTACTTGTATATGTTATGTATAGTATGCCTTTGAGAGTCACGATATGGCCGAAATAATACCGATGTGACTTAAAATCTTAACTCACTCTCTCATTTCTTAGTTAAGTACACGATATGGCTGAAATAATGCTGATGTGACGTTAAATTTAACTCACTCACTCACTAGTTAAGTACAGAACCCTATCCAGGATTCGAAGACCCGTGATGATTCCTGGGTGGAATAGGTCTTCAGTAACCCATACTTGCCGTAAAAGGCGACTATGCTTCTCGTAAAAGGCGACTAACGGGATCGGGTGGTCAGGCTCGCTGACTTGGTTGATACATGTCATCGATCCCAATTGCGTGGATCAATCACTGGTTATCAATCACTGGATTGTCTGGTCCAGACTCGATTATTTACAGACCGCCGTCATATAGCTGGAATAATGCAGAGTGCGGCGTTAAACAACAAACCAACCATCCAACCCACACAGTAATCGCCAGCACACAAAGTGAGCGATCTAAACCACTCAGCCACCGAGACTGATGAATGAAATATCCTTGCAGGTGTCACTGTAACTGAAACCTTTTGCACAAAAAGGGGTTTCAAATGTTAGATTTAGCATCATAAACGCTTGAGTTTGACAAGTTTCTCATTGACAACTTTCTATTTCTAACCCAACAGGCTCCACCGAAAATGTATTAAAAATGTTTATTTTTGACTTAATGAGATATGTGATATGTGTTTGATATAAATCTGAATTATTATTAAAAAAGGTGGAATCTCTTCTCTGAACACGTGTTACTTATTTGGTTTGAGGATCAGTGTCCGGAAGACTTCCACTCAGTCTTACGGTGTTTAACAGTTGACAAGGCGTAGTTAGGTTCATCCCGATATAAAGAGTATCTATAACAATAGGAATAACTGGGGATCATATCTGTGTTTTAAGACAATTATGGTTGAAACACGTTTTATATATTTCGTTGAAAATAGCAGGGCAGACAAATCAACACTAGCTCATATGCTATCTCCAAAGTAGATTATTAAAGATTGTTGGATTGTCATGGAGTTATGGTAATTGTCCTGTGTTCGAATCCAATAATGCGCTTTAATTAGTTGGGCACTAATAAGAAGTAGATTATATATATGTTTAGCTGATTTACAAAAACAAATATACAGTGACAGCACTTAATGACTGGCATGGAGTTATAGTTATTGTCCTGTGAATGGCCGGTATTATCAATCGTGTTGTGATTCAGCAACAGTCGTGGTTTTGACAAACTGAAAGAAGTCTGTACACATTTTAGGCGTTCCATATAATTACATGTACGTTGACACGCCACACACAACCCGTGAAGATACGGGTTAGAATAGGTAAACAGCAACCCATGCTTGCTGAAAGCAGCGACTAAGCTTGTCGTAAGAGGCGACTAACTGGATCGTGTGGTCAGGCTCACTGACTTGGTTGATGCATGTCATCGTATTCCTATTGCGTGGATCGATCCTCGTGTCAATCACTGAATTGTCTGATCGAGAGTCGAGTATTTGCAGGTTGCGTCATATATCTAGAATACTGCTGAGTGCGGCGTTAAACAACAAACAAACAAACATTGATACTATTAGGAAACTCCCACGCCTCCTACGACCAGAATAGGTTGCTTGCACCTATTCTATTCTAACCCAAAAGCCCCAGAGTGGTAGCGGATCTTGCTTATGTGTGTGGAAACGCTGTTGTGACTTGTAATCAAAAATACATAGCTCACGCACTCACTCAAACAATATCTCACTCACATATTGGAGATACCATATTAAATTAAGTCACCTACTCGCTTTATCGAAATGAAAACTAACAACTACATTTTTCAGAAACACTTTAATCTTTATAAACCGATGGATTTTGTAGTCTGTATCGTTTCGTCTAGAAAAAATGAATTCATGCATGTTCTTTGTTCCCAACATAACATGATAGCAACTTCTTTTATTGTCCACCACGACGTTTCAGAGCTACTTCTTGCTCCTTTATTCATCTGATGAAGGAGCAAGAACTAGCTCTGAAACGTCGTGGTAGAGAATAAAAAGGTATCATGTATTCATGTGCTTCCAATAACATTCAAAGACTTCATATCTTAACGAATGCACAGTTTCTCGATCCCAATATCCACCTTCTGTCCCCTTTATTTCGGTAGGATGCTTTGATGTCTAAGTACCCTTTCTTAGAGAGGTTACACTTCTCTTCCGATTCCGAAAACTCCACGGTGAGACAGACAAACCTCTTTTCCCGAATACACCGTTCAATGCAATACTTCAGTGATGAAGTTCTTAGTTCCAGGTTATTGTAGAACTTCATGTCCAGTCCTCTGTAAATAGTCATCCGTGATCCATAGACTTTACAACCTAAAAATAAACAAATGATTTCACAGGCCCCATGGACATGTAAGGTTTTATTGTAAAATGGTTTAGATTATCCATGGTAATACATATGAAAGAATCACACACAAAAAGAGAAACATATATTTAAGAAACGACTTGCAGCTTTTTCTGAAGAATGAAATCGAAAAAAAAACGTTTCTATTATTACAAGCAATAATTGTACGATTCCGTCTATATCTTTGCCATGTCTCTAAAAAACGGTGCGATTTCGAAATCGAATTGGATGCACACCCGTGGTCAGTGTGAGCAGCAATACCAGACATGTTTTTCACGAGGACAAATTTACAAAAGAAATCCCAGCCACCTCGTCATCCACCCCACACCCCAGAACATGAAATAGTCGAACCCTGACAACCGGGGGTAAAAGCCTGAAAACTGACTTACGCCTTACGCACGTCTCTGTGGCATAATTAAAGCTGAAACCAGGGGTACATTTGCACTTTCCACTGAAGCAGATGAAGCCGGGACCCGCACAGTCAGCGGTTGACCTGCACCTCTTCCCCAGTGTGCGGGGGGAAGGACGAACTGTACGAAAATGACAGGATCGATAAGATGTTTTTTGTTTGTTTGTTGTTGGACGTCGCACTCTGCAATATTCCGGCAGTCTATAAATATTGGATTCTGGGCCCGACAATCCAGTGTGTGTGAGTGCGTGTGTGCGTGTGTCTGCGTCTACTATTCGGACTGATGCCGATGCTATAGTGCCAGCCAACTGAGATATCATGCAGCAGTTTAACATGAATACCCCCCACAGACACAGTATACTGACTTTGAGCCGACCAGTCTTGTTTTAGCCCCTTAATGCAGAGTGCCAGACAGGGTAACAAGAAGTACCACCTTTTGGTATGACGCGGCCGGGGGGCGAACCCCCGACCTTCCGCACTTCTGGCGGACACTCTACCACTAGACCACTAGACCACTAGACCACGGAGACGGTCCAACACGGTATAATATGGTGATGGTAAGTATTGAGATGTCCTGTCAGTGCATAATACGAATTATTGTAATCAGGGCAAAATACTAAATACTTGAGATGGAGTGACGAAGTATACACTTTCTTGATTAAATGAAACTTGATTGTGTTTTTATTGGCATGAATGGTATACTTGCTGCGTATTCGTCAAACAGGTGGTTAAAAGAATAGCAGTGTATATCTCAGTCAAACCCTATATATTCATTCAATCACTCTTCATTAACTCATTCTTGTATTACCTGTCACACAAACTGCACGTCCCATATGATTTTCAAGACACTGTGAGCCAGCACTGCAAGTCTTCGACGAGCAAGTATTCGCTGATGGCTGTCAGAAGAGTGAATGTGGGGAATCACAAATACGAGGCTTTTTTCTTCACACTACCTCAAAACTTCTTAAAGATTTACTACATTCATTGGATAACAGTATCTGATGATTGTTTGTTTCTTTGTAGTGAAACGCCGCACTCAGCAGTTTTCCAGCTATATGACGGCGGTCTGTAAATAATCGAGTCTGAACCTGACAATTAAATATTTGACATCATGGGCATCGATCCACGCAATTTGAATACGATATCATACATCAAACCAAGTTAGCGAGCCTTCCACCCGATCCCGTTAGTCGCCTCTTACAACTAGAATAGCTGCCTTTTACGGCAATAATGGGTTGCCGAAGATCTATTCTAACGCATCTTCATGGGTCTCGATGTGATACATTGCGATACATTACCAACTAAAAGTATCAAAACAGTTTAGGTTGTGACACTTGAGCATCGATCCACGCATTTGGGATACGATCACATGTATGTACAGTCAGTGAGCCTGACCACCCGATCCCTTTAGTCGCCTCTTACGACAGGAATAGTCGCCTTTTACGGCTGGACCAGTGGTTACAATACATTACCATCTAAAAGTATCAAAACATTTTAGGTTGTGACACTTGAGCATCGATCCACGCATTTGGGATACGATCACATGTATGTACAGTCAGTGAGCCTGACCACCCGATCCCTTTAGTCGCCTCTTACGACAAACATAGTCGCCTGTTACGGCTGGACCAGTGGTTACAATACATTACCATCTAAAAGTATCAAAACAGTTTAGGTTGTGACACTTGAGCATCGATCCACGCATTTGGGATACGATCACATGTATGTACAGTCAGTGAGCCTGACCACCCTATCCCTTTAGTCGCCTCTTACGACAGGAATAGTCGCCTTTTACGGCTGGACCTGTGGTTACAATACAATACCATCTAAAAGTATCAAAACAGTTTAGGTTGTGACACTTGAGCATCGATCCACGCATTTGGGATACGATCACATGTATGTACAGTCAGTGAGCCTGACCACCCGATCCCTTTAGTCGCCTCTTACGACAAACACAGTCGCCTTTTACGGCTGGACCTGTGGTTACAATAAATAACCATCTAAAAGTATCAAAACAGTTTAGGTTGTGACACTTGAGCATCGATCCACGCATTTGGGATACGATCACATGTATGTACAGTCAGTGAGCCTGACCACCCGATCCCTTTAGTCGCCTCTTACGACAAACATAGTCGCCTTTCACGGCTGGACCTGTGGTTACAATACATTACCATCTAAAAGTATCAAAACAGTTTGGTTGTGACACTTGAGCATCGATCCACGCATTTGGGATACGATCACATGTATGTACAGTCAGTGAGCCTGACCACCCGATCCCTTTAGTCGCCTCTTACGACAAACATAGTCGCCTTTCACGGCTGGACCTGTGGTTACAATACATTACCATCTAAAAGTATCAAAACAGTTTGGTTGTGACACTTGAGCATCGATCCACGCATTTGGGATACGATCACATGTATGTACAGTCAGTGAGCCTGACCACCCGATCCCTTTAGTCGCCTCTTACGACAAACATAGTCGCCTTTCACGGCTGGACCTGTGGTTACAATACATTACCATCTAAAAGTATCAAAACAGTTTAGGTTGTGACACTTGAGCATCGATCCACGCATTTGGGATACGATCACATGTATGTACAGTCAGTGAGCCTGACCACCCGATCCCTTTAGTCGCCTCTTACGACAAACATAGTCGCCTTTTACGGCTGGACCTGTGGTTACAATACAATACCATCTAAAAGTATCAAAACAGTTTAGGTTGTGACACTTGAGCATCGATCCACGCATTTGGGATACGATCACATGTATGTACAGTCAGTGAGCCTGACCACCCGATCCCTTTAGTCGCCTCTTACGACAAACACAGTCGCCTTTTACGGCTGGACCTGTGGTTACAATAAATAACCATCTAAAAGTATCAAAACAGTTTAGGTTGTGACACTTGAGCATCGATCCACGCATTTGGGATACGATCACATGTATGTACAGTCAGTGAGCCTGACCACCCGATCCCTTTAGTCGCCTCTTACGACAAACATAGTCGCCTTTCACGGCTGGACCTGTGGTTACAATACATTACCATCTAAAAGTATCAAAACAGTTTGGTTGTGACACTTGAGCATCGATCCACGCATTTGGGATACGATCACATGTATGTACAGTCAGTGAGCCTGACCACCCGATCCCTTTAGTCGCCTCTTACGACAAACATAGTCGCCTTTCACGGCTGGACCTGTGGTTACAATACATTACCATCTAAAAGTATCAAAACAGTTTGGTTGTGACACTTGAGCATCGATCCACGCATTTGGGATACGATCACATGTATGTACAGTCAGTGAGCCTGACCACCCGATCCCTTTAGTCGCCTCTTACGACAAACATAGTCGCCTTTCACGGCTGGACCTGTGGTTACAATACATTACCATCTAAAAGTATCAAAACAGTTTAGGTTGTGACACTTGAGCATCGATCCACGCATTTGGGATACGATCACATGTATGTACAGTCAGTGAGCCTGACCACCCGATCCCTTTAGTCGCCTCTTACGACAAACATAGTCGCCTTTTACGGCTGGACCTGTGGTTACAATACAATACCATCTAAAAGTATCAAAACAGTTTAGGTTGTGACACTTGAGCATCGATCCACGCATTTGGGATACGATCACATGTATGTACAGTCAGTGAGCCTGACCACCCGATCCCTTTAGTCGCCTCTTACGACAGGAATAGTCGCCTTTTACGGCTGGACCTGTGGTTACAATACAATACCATGTAAAAGTATCAAAACAGCTTAGGTTGTGACACCTGAACATCGATCCACGCATTTGGGATACGATCACATGTATGTACAGTCAGTGAGCCTGACCACCCGATCCCTTTAGTCGCCTCTTACGACAAACATAGTCGCCTTTTACGGCTGGACCTGTGGTTACAATACAATACCATCTAAAAGTATCAAAACAGTTTAGGTTGTGACACTTTCAGTAAACGGTGCCGTAATCGGATGCCAATTCATTCATCGCAATTAAGGAATTCCCAACAGTGCGTGAAAAAGTCAGGTACTTACTAATTGTTTTCCTTTTGAACGAATGACGTAGCCCTTCATCGTCCTTCCCGTGGCTGTCCTTCGAGACAGTCGGCATGTGAGCGTGTTCAAGTTGTACGCGAAACTTCTGCATGAGCTTCTATGAATGCACTTGACATCGCAGAAAGTGACGCCAATGTTGAAAACAACAGCCTGTCCCTTCACATGGGGAAGACATGCTAGGAACAGAGGCAACAGGATTAGCTGACGCATCTTCCAAAGTGAGCTTGGCGGATTGTAAGAGCCGACACAACACAGCCGTTGTGGTGCGGAATATGTTACCCCTCACGTAGCTGCTAATAATAGTAAAAGACTCAGCCAAAGCAATGTGGTTTGATTCAGTCTCTGGTAGGCGGAATTAGTGTGCTGGCATGCGTAGTAGAAAAGGTACTTTGGTACATACACGCACACACCTTATCCCTCAAGAGTGGATAAATATTAATTACAATTCAACCTACTGTTAATTGGTGCATTGTTTTACGTTTGTTTGTTTGTTTGTTTGTTGTTTAACGCCGGACTCAAATAGATCTAACCAAGATCTACACTGGAGGATTATTATTTTTTCGATTCACTGACATTTGAACAGTAGTTTCTAGCAAACCCTATTGATCAGAATACTAACTCAAGCAAATATAAACAATCTTACTTCAAACTGTGAAACATTAAGCGGAAGCATGTTTTAAATGTTCAGATGTCAATACTAATTAGAGAGGATTTGTTATTGTAAATACATCATAACAATTTCCCAAAACTTCACTGATGATTAGATGTAGCTGACACTTTTATTTCTAACAAACTATTAATAGTTAGGAAGTCAAGAGTGACAACGAATTCGACTATTCATTCGTAAAACAAACGAGCGCCTACTACAATGGCGACAGTGAAGACATGTTGAAAAACGCTGCTGAAAAATCAGTATGGGAATCTCAATAGCAGCATGAAGGATAAAAACTTGACAACGTTGGAAGGAACAGAGATAAGTGCTGAAGTCCACTTGTCTGTGTGGTGGACAAATTAGGCGACAATTTCAAGTTGCAATCGTTGTGTGTTTACTCCTTCTTGTGAGTGGCAGTGTTGAGCCTCAACTTCGAGTGACTGCACGTGGGAGAGGAGGATTGCAAGTCGACACAGACCCATATGGTGAGTCCGAATCAGATAAAGAGTTGAAAGAAATCTTGCATGATATACAAACAACTGTCGAATCAAATAAAAACTCCATGGCCGAACTTTGGGAAAATTTTGATGAAATGAAGGAAGTGATACATAAAGTGAAAATCGAACAGGACAATCTGTGGGCGGAAAAACGACAACTCGAAACTTCTGTGGATAGACTTGAAGCACAGATGAGGAGATCAAATGTGATAATCTTTGGAATAAGATGATGAGGCTGCAGAAACATGGGAAGAAAGTGAAGATAAAGTAAGAAACTTTATTAAACATACATTGAAACTAGAAGATGTTGATGACATTGCGAAGTTTCCTTCGTTCAAAGAAAAGGAAAAAGTGAAGAAACAAGGCCTTCAGAGATACAAAAAACATCAGAGACGAGGAAACAATTTGGAAAGTATCTGGAAGAATACAGAAATAAAGGTGAAGAAAACTCTATATTTCATATGATAAACTCAGTGTAAATGACAAACTCATTCGTGTGGGTCAGCGAGGAGGGAAGAGAAATCAAGGACAATCAATGGAACGTAGTCATGACAACATTGGGAAGGTTAACACAATCTAGGGATCTGGCCGAGGCCGACGAGATACAGTAAACTACGGTTATAACGATCTCAAAGGGACTACTAATTTTAGTTCGTTATAACCGTAATTCGTTATAAGCATATGTACAGCATAACTACAGCATATAGTCGGGACTAAAAAGTTAGTTCGTTATATCTGTTAGTTCGTTTTAAGCGTGTTCGTTATAACCGTAGTTTACTGTACTTCTTTGACCAAGGACAAACATATTCGACAAATAAGCATCCGTCTTCACAACATACAAGGTATTTCTGCCCTCTGTTGGAATATCAATGGACTACACTCCAAGATTAACACAAAATTTAACGAACTAAAATCCATATTAAGTAAAGTAGTCTTTTTGCTCTGATCGAGACATGGTCTAAAAATGACACAGAATTTAGGGATCTATTTCCGGGTTACTCTCCATTTCAACGCACTAGAAAGAAACTACACTGGCATAGATGAGGTATCGCCGTCTGTATTAAGGAAGGCTTCTACGAACACCTCAGGAGAATACATAAGGCGTGGGAGGACTCTGTCCATTTCTGTATGCCAGATATCTTTGCCAAAGCATGTATACTGGGATTTACATATATACCTCCAAACAGCAATGAAACAGGATTGGAAAGTGGACTAGAAATGATAGAAGGTAAATTATTTGAACTCTTACATGGATATCAAGAATGCACATTCATATTATTTGGTGATTTTAACGCCTGTATGGGTCAAGTGCAGGACTTTATAATTGATGATGACACTGAATGTCTACCATTAGATGATGATGGCCTTCTTTAATATGGTTCGATCATCAAAGGATTATATTGTTAATAGCTATGGTCGATCACTTATAGATTTGTATTGTCAGTTTGATATGCACGTGAAAAATGGCAGAAAGCATGGAGACGAGTGTGGCGGGTTTACTTTCGTAGGTTCTCAGGGCTGTAGTGTCATGGATTACTGTGTAGTGTCATCCGATATCTTTAGTTTTGTTGAATCTTTTCGTGTGCTGAGCAAAACGCATTCAGATCATATGCCCGTGAATGTTATTATATGTGTACCAAATGAAAATGATATGTCATTAAACCAGCACGACACAGCACGTGCAACACTATCTTTTAATATAGACATTCAAAAGGCAGTTGAACATGATATTGATTACGGTGTTGAACTATTACAATTAGCTGTTGGTGAATCGCTTGTCAAGACAGGTTTTCATTCTACTACTTGAAAAAGGACCAAGATAAGTAACCAGCAACCACAATGGTTCGACAAGAGCTGCCACAGTGCTAAAAAGAACAAATATAAAACATTGAACCTTTTCAGAAAGACAAATAACACTGAATATTATACAGAATTTATATCTTTAAAGAATCATTTTAGAAGTTTGTGCAAACAGAAGAAATGGGATTTTGAGAATAAGATTATGGAGGATATTTCTAAAGCAGAACAAGACAAAGATTGTAAAATATTCTGGAAACTAATTCAGAAACTATGTGGATCTACCAACAATTAAGGCAAGAAATATCATAAGAATGGCTGCCCTATTTCAAGACACTTTTAAATCCAGAGAGCTGTGTTTAACGAATATGTCAAGAACTACATTTTAGGTCATAATTTTGCTGATTGTGATGACGTAATAACTGAAGAAAAAACTGAAAACTGGGAAATCTCCAGGAATGGATGGTCTCCCACCTGAAATATTTAAATAATCTTGTAATATCATAATGCCTTATTTATTATTTATATTGTTTAATGAAGTATTAAAGAAGGTATACTTTCCACAGGCTTGGAATAATGGGCTTATTACCAGTCTCTATAAGCAAGGAAGTAGTACTGACTCAAGTAATTATGGCGGTATCTCCCTACTAAATATTATGGGGGAAATCATTACATCAGTAATTAAAACAAGACTTACTCTTTGGTTTGAATTTCAAAATTGCATATCCGAATCGCAGGTTGGTTTTAGAGAGGGTCATTCCACTATTGATAACATATTTGTTCTTCATTCACTGGCACATAAATATTTAAGGAAAAAAGGAGGTAAAGTTTACTGTTATTGTATTTATTTTAAAAAAGCTTTTGATATGGTTGATAGGACAAAATTACTGTATTTAGGCTTGACGCAATGCATCCATGGAAATATATTGAATGTACTTTAATGTATGTACAGCAACGTTGAAGCTTCTGTGAAGCATAGTTCTTCACATTTTACCGATGTATTTGACACCTCAAGCGGTGTTAGACAATGATGTATGCTTTCACCGCTACTGTTTTGGATGTACTTAGACGAACTAGTAAATGTTATGAAGAGTGATGACACTCGTGGTATCTTCATTGATTGTGATGTTGATGAAATATTTTTGCTTTTATTTGCAGATGATGTGTCCATACTTGCTGATTCTATTATAAATCTGCAAATCAAAATAACTAGTTTAGAAAGATACTGATATAAATGGGGACTAACAGTAAACATTAACAAGAGTAAAGTTATGATATTTAAAAATGAAGAGCCTCTATCACAGCATGAAAAATGGTTTATTAATGGTGAACAATTTGAAGTAGTGTCACACTATGAATATCTTGGTATTCTAATTTCATGCAGAAATATGTTTACTCAAGCATGTTTTACTTTAGCAAAACAGGCAAACAAGGCTCTAGTACCAATTATTTGAATGATGGTCAAATATCCAGACGTAAACGTTGATACATACCTTAAAATCTTTGATTGTAAAATTTAACCCATTTTGCTATATGGTGCGGAAATATGGTGTACAGATGTAAGAAAAAGCATCGAAATTATACATACTAAGTTTTGTAAATATACATTAAATAAAAAATCTTTAAATGCTGCTGTATTAGGTGAACGTGGAAGAACGAGAATGTATGAACACGGTGTTGTGAGAATAATTAAGTATTGGATTTAGCTATTAAGGATGCCTCTGGGTAAATATCAAAAGCATTGCTATTTCATGTCATGAAAATATGATGAATTAGGTTATAAAATTAGGTTTCATATGTAAGATATACATTGTTTAGTTATGGTTTTGGTAATGTATGGTTGATGCAAGATGTCGGAGACTTTGATGTTTTTATTTATACATTTAAGGAAAGAACAAGTATTTGTCACAGAAGTTACGAAATGTCCCCCGCCTGTATATACACCAAAATACCAAATATGAAGACAATCCAGCGATTAGTTCTTGAGATATCGCGGCAACACCGTTTTCCAACTCCAAAAGCAGATTTGCCTGCTGTGACCTTGAAAATAGGGTCAAGGTCACCAAAACCGACTGGTGTCTGCGGTGTCTGTATATACACCATAGTTCCAAATATTAAGACAATCCTGCGATTAGTTCTTGAGATATCGCGGCAACACCGTTTTCCAACTCCAAAAGCAGATTTACCTGCTATGACCTTGAAAATGGGGTCAAGGTCACCAAAACCACTGGTGTCTGCGGAGTCTGTATATACACCATAGTTCCAAATATGA